TCTACCACTGAGCCACAATCTCAGCCCCAAGAATGGTATTTATTAAATTTCTTTTCTATAAAGTCTAACAGACTTCAGAGTTTACAATACATGAATTTTTGCTTTTTAAGTAACTATTTTGATGTTAAAACTCCCCAAAGTGGCCTATAGTTCATAATTCAGCTTTTAAAATCATGTTTATTTTGTGATTATTCTGGCATATACAGAATGAAATTGATAGCCACATGTGAGTGGTGGGAACATGAAGCTAAGGGAATAAGTCTATAAACTGGGCTCACTGTGCTGCTCCCACATGCTTCCTTTTAAAAAGCAGTTTGCCTGCAACCCTATCTGACTTAAATCAATAGGATATGTTACATTCCTCAGCAAACAACCTGTTATCTGTAGGAGCAATGTGGCTGGAAAGACTCCTCCCTTCCAATAAGAAAACATGTTATTCTGGAAGGGGGCAGAGGGTTTTTTGTGACCTTTCCACAGACCAGATGCCAGAACACAGGGAGATAGGATGACTAGAATTGGTCAACATGGACTGAAGTGACCCAAAGTTTCCTTGGATCTTTACCATGTTGTGCAGTAAGACCACACACTTTGGGGACTTGGAAGTCTGATGCAGTCCTGCTGTTAATCAAAAGTCAAGAGATGGACCTGGGTGGGACACTCTGAGAATTTCCCTAGGACTTCAAATTAAAACTGGAGGGCAGTAGAGATGCCCTGTCCTTTACCTTTATGGGAGGACTCACTTTCTCCCTTAAGCATGTCCCCCTTTTCCCCTTTTTCTATCCCATTTAATAAATTAATGTTTGCTACTCTGAGGAATATGTCTGATACCTTTCCAGCACAACCACAAGACCCCATAATAGGACCTCCATGACTGTGTGAGTTCCATGGTGGACCTTTGCTGTATTACAGATTCATAAGAATATTTGGAAGAAAGTTTTCAGTTTATCTTCTAAATATTTTATAAATGTCTTCAGAACACATTTGTGGCAGATATACTAACCAGGTTGGAGTAGATGATCCAGAGCTGTTTATGCAAGCAGGTCTGGAGCTTGCATGTGCTCAGGATCCCATCAAGGAGACCAGCACTTAAACAATTAACTGCAACCCAGGGCAAGTCCATGGGGTTATGAAGAATGCACTTTGAAATTACAAGATCAGGACTGATTAATTCTTGCAAAGGTTAGGAAAATCATTACAAAGAAGGTAATTTTTGAAATAATGTGTTTGGAAGGAGTGGAATTTCATCTAACAGAGATTAATGGCACTCGGAGTTGTATCCTGTGAGCAGAAGGAAAGAGAGTTGAAACTACTTTACAATGGTTTCTCTGATTTCAAGCCTCAATCTTTCTCTTTTTTTGGTTATCTGAGGTGTTTGATGCCTATGAGAAATATTTTAATAGTGAGGATCTTGATTTAAGAGATAGTAAATGTCTGTTTCCTTCCTCCTGTCCATTCACCTCCACTTGGAAAGCTCCTAGCCTCTCCACTTATTGGTGGGAAACAGTGCTTTTGCTTTTAATTAACTGTAAATCAGGCTATATTTACCTCTCTAAGGGGTGGGTCACATGGCACACTGGGATGAATGAGCACTGTCTCCCAGAAGGCTACTCCTTAAGCAAAAGTGAGACAAGGATGAGAAAGAGGTGGGAGACAGTAGCATCCTCAGAAAGACCATTTGTTTACTTCTGCCTCCTAGAAGACCAAAGCAGTGGGTACCTAGTTTCACCTTCTCTTCATAGTAAATTCTTCCATTTTTGGAGTGAACTAGAACTGGTTTTTGTGGTTTGCAATTGTGATATAGTAAGAAAGAAGAATACAAGCCCCTCAAGCAAGTTAAAAGTTGCAGATCAGTGGGATGAAAGAGGGTATGGTAAAGTCAAGGTTAAAGTTAGGGCTTACAGTAAGAATCATAGCTAAGGATGGTGGTGGAAGGTACCTGCTAGAGTTTCTTCCTTTTGATTCTCCATGGTCTACTAAAAATCATATTTACTGATTTGGGTACAGTGCTTGGATGCCTGTAATCCCAGCTGCTCAGGAGGCTGAGGCAGGAGGATTGCAAATTCAAGGCCAGCCTTAACAATTTAGAAGGCCCTAAGCAACTTAGCAACTCTGTTTCAAAATTAAAAATTAAAAAGGGCTGGGGATGTGGCTCAATGGTAAAGTATCCCTGGGTTCAATCTCTAGAGCCAAAAAAAATCATATTTACTGACTCATGATTAGAGTTATGAAACTGTACCCAAGAATCCAGAATGCATTAGAAACCTTAATGTAGCTCAATATATACACTTGATGAATGTTGACTCAGTCTTAGTGTTAGAAAAATGTTATGTAATTTCTGGTAAACTTTAACATAACTCACTGAAATAATTTCAAAATAAAACTACATATTATAAGTTAAATGTGCAATTTTTCTCCAAATCTCAGCACTTACTGGCTTTCATTCCCCTTCGATACTTCTAGGCATACTAAATGAGTCTAAATTTGACTTTCATCTTTGTTAATTTGTCTTAAATCAATTTTTGATTGAGTCATTAGTTATTAATGTCACTGCAATTTTCCCTGTCTATTGGGATTCCAATTTGGAATAAAAATTTCTATTCTCTGTTTGTCTTAAATTGTTTGAGCATTTGGTTTTTGAATAGATGCATGTCTACAAGAAAGATGAAGTTTTTAACAAGTGCAAATAAGAACCCAAGCAAAGCTAGGTGTTTGAAAATAACTTACTAATTTGTTTGTGTTGTATGGTTTTGAAAATAATTTACTTTCCTTTATACAAGTGGTACTTTTTTCTTTAAACAGAATTACCTAATAAGCTAGCTGCAGGAAGTAAATTCCAATGCAATGGAAGTCTTCATTAAGGCAAGGCTTTTGATCAATACAGTGTTGTTCCTTCTATAGTTCATTGCTTTTCAGTTGGACTGAACCATCTTATTACATAGATTAAAGAAGATTTGGAGTCAGGTATAATTTATTGAATGCTGTTGAATATTCATTGAGTTAATATTTTGTTGAATGCCAACTCTGTATGAAATGCTTTTGCAGACTCTTGTTCTCAGGGGTGTGCATTATAGTAGGGGAGGAAACATAATTTGTACTAACAAAGATGTAACATCTTATAAGACAGGTAGAGCTCACAGCAATGACTAAGAGGCATAAATTGCATCTGATTGAGGGAATCAGAAGTCGATTTTTGAAAGAATTTGCATGTGAAATGGTTCATGAAGGATTGTTTCAGAAAAACTTCCCCTTTTTCAAAGAAAAGGAAACAGGCATCCTAGAAAGAGTGGATCAGGCCTGCATGCTTTGGATAATTACAACCTGCCTCTGTCACTAGGGTGAGGTAGAGATGAAGACATGTAAAGGTATGTTGGATCTGATATTTATTTGCCCCTTGCCCTAACAAGTCAAGGGAATGGATTGTAGGAACATAATCAACACCATCAGCTCCCTGCCCTCAGCCCCTCAACATTCATGGACATTGGATTTGGCAGATGATAATGAGAAGACTTCTCCTATACTTGCCACAAACCAATTCCTAACAACCTGAAAGAAAGCTGAGGATGCTGAGGATGTTGTTCAAAGATAGAGAAAATAAGCTACTAGAATAGAACATACAGAGTATCTTCAAAAGTAATTAAAGGAAAGATGGAATTTTATTGTTTTGTTGTCAGGAATGAGCATTATTGAACCTGGAATCCCAAACAAATCTGACATACCCCTAGGATTTTGAAGGAAGATTCGTATTAAGATTTATGATTCAGGGAAAACTTATTTATTACCGAAGTGCAGGTTATATTAGAGAAGAACTTGTAAATGATTAATATTTGATGTGGATCCATTTAGAGAATACCAAAACATTATATAAGCATCCAGGCTCAATAACATAGAACTAATTTTGTATAACATTTTATAGTTTACAGTGAATTATCCATCGCCTTCCTTATATTATAGGATATTATAAGATAGTAGATGGAAGAGAGAATTTGCTTGCCTCTGAAATAGTAGTATTACTGAGACTTGAAAGTAAAAGTATTAAAACTGCAGACACCCAGCTTGTTAATGATGGAGGCAAGTTGTTAAGCAGCACATCTAGCTATCTATATTCTGCTTTCTGCTTTGATGTCATATGAAGATTGACATTTGTCATTATATTTATGATAATTACTACCTTACCTCACTTCCCTTGTTTGGACTAATAATGATTTCTGTAGCTGTTTATGTAAAATTTATAGAATAAATAATATATGTCTGCACATTGTTCAAAATATGTAAAAACATAGAGTTAAATGTATGTTCCCCTTCTTTTTTCTGTCCACAAGTTACTCAATACCTCTCCCACAAAAATAAGTAGCTAGATGGGATGAGACTGTAGCTCAGCAGCAGAGCACTGGACTAGCATGCGTGAGGCACTGGGTTCGATCCTCAGCACCACATAAAACATAAATAAATGAAGTCATATATACTTTTTTTTAAAAAAAAAAAGACTTAAAAAGGAATTCTGTCCATCTAAAACTATAGAAAATTTTTTTAAAAAGTAAGTTCCTAGAATCCTGTGCATTCTTTCAGAGATGTTCCATATCTTTGAAGTCATATTTACGTGGCTTTAGATATATTTTTATACTCACATACACACTCACAAAGAATCTCATTTTTTTTTTCATTTAGCAACCCTGGGATGGTGTTCCATAATGTGGTACCCTTTCAAATGATTGCACAGTTTCAAATGTCTATACAGGAAGACCATCAGGGATATAGCAAGTTTCCTATGACCACATTTAGTGCTCTGCCAGTTTTATGCTAATATAATCAATGATGAAATGAGTATTTGTTCACACATCTCGTTTTTGCATAAGAAGTAATCTGTAGGTGAAAATTACTTTTTAAATAAAATTCTGCAGGCCCCTTTAATTGATGACTTTTAGCTAAGAAAATGGTTCATTATTACACTGTGGTTTTGTAGACAGTAAGTCTATGGTTAGTAAGGCATGTTTAGCTCAAAATTTCTGTTTACCCTTTATTTCCATGAAACTTTTGGGTTCTTGTGTTCAGCCTGCAGGTAAGGCTGGGAGTGGACATCAGGTTGGTTTTCTTGGTCCTCCTGCCTTCTTCCCACAAAAGGTTGAAGTGAAGCTGCACTATCTCATGCTTCTCAAACCTCGATGTAGGACTCATCTGAGCATCTTGTATTTTGCATATATAGACTAGTGTGGGACCTGTGAGTCTGCACTTCTAACAAGATGCAGGGTGATGCAAACAATGCTGGCCCCTATGCACGAGCTGGGGAAAGAATGATGAAAGTGGTTAGTGGAAAAGCCAATGAGCTACAAGCAAAAAGAGCTTGGGTTTAGATTATTTGAACCATAGACTATTTGAACTATGACTTGTATAATTAACCACTGAAAAGTGTTTATCCATCTGTTAAGTTGCTATAAAAATTCTGGATTACTCCACTTACATCATAGAATCAAGTTCATAATTTACTGAGAATGCATGTGCACACAATTTGTGACATATAAAAGATTTAAACAAATAGTGGAGGTAATACTACTGATTTCATGCACTGCCTGGTTTCTAGAAAGAAATTATGTGAGCAGTTAGAAACTTCTAAAGCTTAACCTGCTTTAATTAATGTGAAAAGAAAATGTAATAGCAAAGGTGTGTACACAAGGATAGTTCAACTATTTAAATAGGATTGAATAGGAAAAAAATTGAAGAAAAACTATTAGTGATTATCTCTAACTGAATAAATTGAAGATATCTATTTTTCACTTTATGGTAGTTTTTCTTAGTCTTTCTTTTTTTCTTTTTCATATTTTTATATTCTATAAAAATGTTTCATTTTTTGATAATGAAAGACAATTAAAAATTAATAATACTAAAAATGTCATCACTCTTCTCCATTGTAGATTTGGGGTACATTGTAATCCTGTATCATAATAATAGAGATGATAATGAACTAATATTGATTGAGTTCCTACTGTACACCAAATACTGGGCCCTCTCCTTTATGTACATGAGCTCTCCAATGTATCCCTGTAAATTAGCATTATAATGCATTTCTGTGCAGCAGGGAATTAGCTTTTTTATTTTATTTTAGTTGTTAATAGACCTTTATTTTATTCATTTATTTATATGTGGTGCTGAGAATAGAACACAGTGCCTCACACATGCTAGGCAAGCGCTCTACTACTGAGCCACAACTCCAGCCTCAGGGCTTTATCTTTTAACTGTATAAATAAGATCTCTTTTCTCACTCGGCTAGGCTTGGTGGTACACACCTGTAATTCCAACTACTGGGGTGGCTGAATCAGGAGGATTGCCAAATTAGGCAATTTAGCAAGATCCTGTCTCAAAATAAAATAAAAAGAGCCGAATGGAGCTCAGTGGTAGATCACTTGCCTAGTACTCTCAATCCCCAGTCATGAAAAAATTTTAAAAATCTTACTTCTCCCTTTATGAAACCTAATAGTTATTGCCCATCTCTTTGCAGTCTATGAGGGCTGGTAGAAGTCAACCCCTGCCTGATTCTTTCTTGCTACATTTTTCCAGCTAAAATGGCCTCTGTTCATGAAGTCACATCAGCTTCAGATCATGTGGGAAACTTTTTTTTTTTTTTGGTACCAGATATTGAACTCAGGGCCCTTGGTCACTGAGCCACATCCCAAACCTTTTTTATATTTTATTTAGAGATAGTGTCTCGCTAAGTTGCTTAGAGCCTTACTAAACTGCTGAGGCTGGCCTTTACTTTGTGATACTCCTGTCTCAGCCTCTCAAGCCTCTGAGATTACAGGCCTGTGCCATGGTGCCCAGCTAACTGGGAGACTTTGAACTAGGTACCGCATGTATTGCTGTATTCCTCCCTCCCCAAAATGCACATTTCATACCCATGTTCAATTGTGCTTCTCAGAAATAAATGTCAAGGACTTTGTTTTTAAATGCAGTTTCCCACCTTCACTTGGTATCCTTAATTTTTTGAAGATCTTTATTCTCCACTAAAATGTGAACTTCCAGATTGTGGGGACTTTGCCTTAGGTCTCTTCTTCTTTACAAAAGAGGTGATTGGTGTACTCAGTGCTCATGCTGGCCCTTGCTTATCCTGGATTCCAGGCTTGCATGCATATATGCATGTGCATTTGGAGTGGTCTGCGGAAATCTGAAATCTGCCAAGCTTCCAATCTGATCATAATTTTGAAAATGAAGGAAAGAAATGATAGGAAAGGAAAGCTTATTTCATCATCCCCAATATTGCATTCCAATGTCATTCGTATGTAAGAAAGAAAAATGGTGAAAAAAAAATTCCCAGTGTGCTGACTTGGGATAATATATCTTTGTATGCATCTTGCCCTGCTGGTGTTATAAATATATATGTTCCATAGGTCAAAGAAAAAAATTAAAAATCACTTATTGTTGACCTCAAAATACCTTTAGGCTGAATTAGTCAATGAATCCATGTATCTTTCAATTTGGAATATGCTCCTCTCCTCCTTCCATATGTTCTAAATACTCTGCAACTTCAAAGTGTACAGCATAAAAATTCTGTTTCGGTGGTTCATGCAGTTGACAGAACACTTTCTTACAAAAAAAAAAAAAGCTGTCATAATTGATACACTTGTGTTTAAGAAAACACATCACGTATTGGCTTTCTGGAGCTTTTGAGATGCTCTGAATGGAAATAATTCCTTCTAAATCTTATGGTGTACACAGTCCAGACACTACTGAAAATTTAATATCAAAAGAGCTTTGCAAATGATTTTTAGATGGTGATTCTATTATTTATAGGTCTTGAAGTGAATTGACCAGAAGAAGGATTTCTTTGACTAAATTTAAATCTGTGGTTTGGAGTAGGATATTGAGGAAGGAAATTTAGGAAAATAAATGGAGGAGAATTTGTAGGTTGAGAGGGTAAGAGAAAAAGAAAACTCTAGGACTAACTTCTTAAAACTCATCAAAGTCTCAACAAAAAACTTGAAGCAATGGAAATTGCCTGGCATCCATTTTGATCCTTCTGCAGTGGGAGTAACTTTGGATTTCTTTCAAAAATGAGCTTCTAATGGCTTTTGTATTATGATTATTTAGTGACATAAAAAAGATAAAGAGTGCTAACATTTATTTAGCAAGAGGAAATGGATCAGTTGTACAAAACATACCAGAGAGTAAGATCCACATTTTAGAACTAAATGATAAAATTATTTTAGTATCTATCACAGTATCAAATTTTTTTGTTTTATTAAATTGCCAGAACAATTATGGATTACTGTTATCATGATGCAATGAATCTTCCAGACAGTTCTTCAAATCTTTGCAATTCATAAGCCATAATAAAACTCTTAATCTCTCTGCAAATCCTCCCACTAATTCAATAGTTCTCTCTCATAGTAATCAGATACTGATGATTCTAATAGCCTTGAAGATGAGTCATTTGTATTAGCCCACCTCAGTTTGCTGCTGGTGAACACTTTCTCTTGAGGAGTATACCAACTGGAGTTCAAGAGAACTATCCTCTAAACTCTTCAGCAAATGAGTTTTAAACCTTAATGAGACTTGTAGATAGACTCAGTCTTTATAACAACTTTCAAAACAAAGTTCTCAAAGAATGATTTTGCTTCAGGTATCAAATAGAAATAATAATCCTGCCTCCAGTTAGGGTCTTTAATGTCATAAAGTGAAATAGAATAAATATATCATTTGGAATTATCCTCAGTGGCTAATAATACAAAACCAGATTACATGTGGTACAAACACACAAAGACTCTCTTTCCTTTTTTTTTTTTTTTTGAGAGAGAGAGAGAGAGAATATGAATCTTTTTTGTAGATGGACACAACACAATGCCTTTATTTTTATGTGGTGCTGAGAATCCAACCCAGGTCCTGCCCATGCTAGGAGAGCGCTCTATCGATAAGCCACAATCCTAGCCCCTCTCTTTCCTTCTTTTACAAGAAATGGAACAGGCTGACAGTTGTAGGGTCTCAATGTTACCCTCAGGCCCCCAGCTCTTGTGTCAGTCTCCTCTGCCCATCAAGACGATCTTGAGTTTTGAACTCACAAGAGCAAAGTGGCTGCTGTACTTCCTAACATTTTATCTGTGTTTCAGACAGAAAAAGTGGCAAAGAGTAAACGATGAAAGCAGTGATGCCAGCTGAGTCTCTCCTACTCAAAAACTTTGCTAGATGCTCCATTAATTGATTTCCACCAACTACTTACATATCAAGGAGTGTGTCACTTAGTCATCTCTTGTTATAACAGGAGAACAAAGGGAATTGGAAGTGGTTTTTAAATGTCAAACCAGCCTAAGACCTGGAGCACTGTTTTCAGTACAGTGTCAGATGCCTGTGTTAAGACAATCACAATGACAATAAAAATGTACAGAACTCTACTATATTTTGACTTCTGGCCTCATCTTAATAGTGACCACATGGGCTTGGGTTGTGGCTTGGTGGTATAGCACTTGCCTCACATGTATGAGGCACTGGGTTTGATTCTTAGTACCACGTAAAAAATAAATGAAATAAATTTATTTATTGTGTCCATCTACAATTTAAAATATTTTAAAAAATAACCCCATAGTAAGAAAAAAACAACTACAATTTTAAAGAAGAAAGTTAAATACTAACAACATATAATGCATAATCAAAAGCTTATTTTGTCATAGTCAGTTTTCTGGGCATTTTATATGCTAACTGAATAATCTTCACAACAACTCTGTTGTTGTGGGAGGTCACATAATTGAGATACCTTCATTTCATGGATGAGTGTGCTAGGGATGTAGAGAAGCTAGGGCAGTGGCTGAGCTGGGGATTTGCATCCAGGCAACTGGATCCTAAATCCCTACCCTTTACCACTGCATTCAACTATGTATATAAAATTGTATTCAGTGTCTTAAAAAGTTGGAGAGGTTGCTCCAAACTTCTTACACCAACAGAGAGACTGAAGCACTGAGAAAGAGCTGTGGTGGCCAAAGTTACCCAGCTTTGCAAGTTCAGTAAAAGTTTAAATCAAGGAGTGAACCCTTAAATGTAGTCCACAATCCTGTATTCTTAGTTAATCCTTATGTCTTCTGTGAAAAGAAATGTCCCACCTGTCACTGGAAGGAAGAATCATTGTTTCTTTTTATTGATACCAGGATACCAGGGATTGAACTCAGAGGTGCTTAACCACTGAACCACATCCTCAGCCTCCCTCAGCCTTATTTTCCTTTAAACATGGTCTCCCTAAATTGCTTAAGGCCTTACTAAGTTGCTGAGGCTCACTTTGAACTCATGCTCCTCCTGCCTCAGCCTCCTAAACCTCTGGGATTATAGGTGGGAGACACCTCACCCAGACTCATTATTTCAAATATACTTAAAACCTGCAGAGTCATATTTATGACATTGTTTCAACAAGTCCCTACCTAAAACAATCCATTGTTAGGTTTGAAAGCTTTAATAAATTCAGGTAAAAAATGTTTGTGATAATGTTTCAGAAGTGATTTTGTATGTCTTACATTATCTCCTATCAGTAGGCCATAAAATCAGGTTGCCCCATTCTTAGAAATGCTAAATTTGAATACAAAAGAGTGATGCCTGCACATTATTTCTTTTGTTCTAAGGCTCCAATTTTTGATTTGCAATTATCAGGTACTTGGGAAGGGAAGGGGAATTTCTTTGGTACTGGGCTGCTACAGCCATTTTTCATGCAATAATTTTAGCACCTGTTGTTTACCTTTTTATCAGTCTGTCTTTTCTTGGCATGGTGGAAAAGTAAAATTTTATCCTGTGTTTCCGTCAGTATTCAAAGTTTTTAATGAAGAAGTATCTTTTCTGATTAGCTGGGATGAAATATAGCTCCTCTTAGGAAAGCAAACTAAATGCTTATTTCACTTTGCTAAAATTTTCAAGATAAAAAATGAATGCAATATTCACTTGTGATGAGATTAATGTTTACTTTGGGTTTTGTTTATTTTTGTCATCTTCACTCTTTTTTATTCTATGACTATTAGTATGACTCATGAGTTTTGGTTCAATATGTTACAAACCAACTTCCAGGAAGTATAAGAATGAACAGAAACACAAAGACACACACAATAGGACAATTCCAGATGTAAGATTTCCTATAAAGTAACTGTTTTTAGTCTATACATAAATTCAATGAAGTGAAAAAATAATGAAAAAAAAAAAACTAATGGGTACCTTTCATAGAATGATAAAGTCCAAAGAGATACAGACAATGTCAGGGAATGAGTTTAAGCTTGTTTAAGTCAAATGAATGAATGTGGATTATTTACTATTAGAAAAATATATTGCTTTTTTCATGATATGATAGTAGTATTGTGCTTATGTAAGAGACAGCTTTATTTTTAGAGAGGTATTGTAATGAAATTAGGAATGAAGGATCATGCTAACTGCAGGGGACACATGCATGCACACACACAAATATATACACTTACTTTTATAAAATATTTGTAAACAATTTGTAAGCAATCACAGTATCTAGACAAGCAAATATGATAAAAATGTTAAGTTTTGAATTTGTAGAGTGTTATGTGGTTGTTATTTTATTACTTTAACATTTCTGTATGATAAAATTTATTTTAAAAAGATTTAGAGGAAAATAAGTATGACCGTTTGGAATGTATGATACTTATATACTCCTTTAGTTTACATCAATACTTGTTGAAATATTTGCTCTGGCTCTGAGCATTGGTTCAGGCTGACAGGGTTGGGTTGCTTCCTCCTCTTTAAATAGGATAATGAAATGTCAGTCTGACTTAAATACTGAGGACCAGCTTATGATTCTTTTTGAAGAATTTCCTTGGGAACCTTAAAAAAAAGTAACAGTTTCCTTGATATAATTTGTCAGAAAGTGATCAAGGTTTTGCAAAATTTGGCAAATTTCTAAACTCAATGTTTTGTATACCTGGTTAAGAACTTATAAAAGGAATTGGCAAAGGTCTTGCTGGTAAATGATTGGACCATCCAGTGGACCATCCAATCTCTATGATAATTGTTTCACTCTGCCTTTGTAGTGGGTGAAACAGCCACAGAAAATATGCAAATAAAAGTATGGCTATGTTCCAATAAAACTTTATTTATATAAACAGAAGGGCCAGATTTACTTTGAAGAATTAGTGCATAAAGATTCCTGTGATTACATCAAAATGTAGTGACAGTTTTGTTATACCATTCCATGACCCCTTTTCTCATGAACTATACATAGACTTCTTATTTGCTATAGAAATTCTTCACTCTCCTCTCAGCTAATTATTTCTTCTTTTTAATTTCTTCTGCTAAGCATCATTTTCCCAGGAAACATTCCTTGATTAGGTCATTTCCTGAACCGAATAATTTTATCTCTTGTATTTATGACAATTATATATTTATATAATTAGCTGATTAATTCTTGAGACTATTGAGTTATTATCCTCTTCTATAATGTAAGTCAGCTAAAACTGGAAGTTTTTTTTTTTTGCTGTCTTGTTCACTAATTGACTTTGTTTGGCATTTTTTTCTCACTGTATTATCAACCTGGCACATGGTAACTGGCACTTATTACCTGCACTTTATACTAAGTAACATTTGCTAAGAGGATTAGTTGAATATTCCAGACTTAGTTGCTACTAAACTATAAGTGTCAATAATAAGACAAGAGTTCCAAAGATATGGTTAGTGAATGCATTAACTTTAAGTTTGGATACATTTATTTTTTCCTTTTTCCCTCCCTAACATTGTCTTTTAAATGCTAGTGAAAGCAGAGCATAAGAAATATAGTATAAAACCTGTTTGTATTCTAAATATGAAGCGGGATATTGTTGGAATTCTTCTAATTTCTTACCATATTTGAAAATAGGGTTGAAGCTTGAGTAATGAAGTAGTCAGATATATCTTAGTTACTGAGGTGTAACTTAAGTAATTTGAGTTCCCTTTTCAGAGAACTTGGCTTATTTATTATGTCATTGAGGATTCCAAATTCTAGAATGTAACCCATCAGTCCCTGAGATAACCATTTGTAATATCTGATCCTAGTAATTAATCACCTAATTTGTAATTCTACTGCACAAATCTTGTGCTTTTGTCAAATCAGTTTATTTTGTTTTTTGAATCTTTTCTTTGACTCCTTTCCAACTCTGCGACTTTCTGTACTTTGAACTTTTAAATGAATTTATTGCCTTAATTAACTTTCTAAGTTAAAACAACTGCTCATTTTTCATGTAACTATTTCCCAAGAAAATACAAATTAATTTAAAAAAATATTTTATTGTTTATCTTTACCTTAATCTCTCATGCAGTATGCTATACTGTGGACACTTAATGACAACATTTTGAGATGCTTTGGGAAGGAGAGCAGATGATACAAAGAATTTTTAATAGCTCCCATCTGCCATATATATGATAAATATGTCTTATCAACTGAGGCTACCATACAACTAAAATATAATTTAGCCAGAAAGAGTCTTTGCCATTGCATTTAACTTATATAAATATCTGTCTGCTGGTTTTTATATTTTTAATTAAAGTTAACTTCAATTTAATGCTCGAAAATGGGAAGGAATGAAGCATCTGTGAAGGTTGCACTTCTTTAGTTTATCTGTTTAAGATTTGGTGTTTATGAAATGAGGGATGATTAAGATATTTGCTCAAGATAAAGTTTGCGTTTGCCTGTTCGGAATCAAGAAAATATCAAAAAGCACCCCAAAAGGTCAACCTCGTTAAACTGAGCTCAGTCCAAATGAGCTAAATTTCATTTTCTACCACCCTTGTTCTTCTTTAATGGCCAGAAAAATGAAAATGTATTTCTTGTTGCATCCTAATGGAGCATGAAGGAATAAAAGGAGACAAAACCCAGGGTGGTGTATTTTCATATTTTTCCATTGAGATGAGGTGATTCATCTCTAGCTTATAGTTCTTTCTTTACTAACTGCAGAATAGAAGGGGAAAGATAGATGACCTTTATGCAGTATTCTAAAGTGATATAAATGGTACTGAGTTCTGTCTTCAGAAAGCTGCTTCATTTTTATTGACTTGGGTTTTGTATATAAGGAAAATTAAGAGAGTAATTTCAGTTCATTTCCTGAATAATTCAAACCAAAGAACTACTATTGAGAAAAGTACAGTCTTGAGGTAACTGTAACTCTCTGAACCTTGTATTTAAAGATAAACTTCAATAGGGTGTGTGTGTGTGTGTGTGTGTGTGTGTGTGTGTGTGTGCATTCATTGCCATAAATTCATGTGTAACTCTAAGGCTTCTCTTCTTATGTATCTCTTGAAATTGATGTCATTTAAGTTGCTTTAGGAAAAAGGTAAACAAAGACTTAAAGTTAAGATTTAAAATGTGTAGTTTCATCGAAGAGTGATAAAAATGACCCAGGAAGAGTTCAGTGTATGAGGTGAGTGGCAGAGTGAGATGACCCTAAATAGCTTTGGTTGGATTTCATCCTGAGAAGTGTAGTTGCAAAAACAAAGAATTTGAGTTTGTAAAGAGCTCTGAATCACCAGTAGTGGGAAGGACAGTCACCTCAGGGAATCTCTCTTTGAGCATAATTCATCCTAGGGTGGCCCAGAGAGCAACATGTTTGGAAAGATATGAATGTAATAGCCAATGAGCTCTCAACATTCCTCTCTCCCTTAATGTTTTGTTGCCTTCCTCTCATTTGATTACTATATTTCTTAAAATAGTTTTTCATACCTGATGCCTTTATTTTCTTAGTGTCTGTTTCCTCCTCTTGTATACAATAGTGGTCCCTAACTGTGTCTAAAGGTTCATTCTTGATGTCTGACGTTCAAAGTTTTTTAAATTAACTTGGTTCTATTTTCTACCAGCTTCAAATATCATTATGTTCTTTCCTTAGGCTAACTTAGGCTATTTGTCCCTTTTTAAAGATACTACATGGACTAGCCCCTCTACTTTTTTTTTTAACCAACATTCTTCATAGAATACTCTCCCTGTAGTTTCTACATATATAAATCCATACCTGTATACTTCTTATCTCTTCCTGAAGCTGCCTCTGACCTCAGATCTAAAACCCACTCTTCCTAAGAAGTGTAACACTTATATTAGTTTTCTTGGACTTCCATGACACAATATCACAAACTGGTAGCTTAAATTTAAGAAATTTATTTTCTCACAGTTCTAGAAATAAGAAACCCAAGATCAAGGAGGGTTTGCTAGGAAGCTTTGGGGTTAGGGTTAGGGTTAGGGTTAGGGTTAGGGTTAGGGTTAGGGTCCCTCACCTAGATGCAAATGGCCTCCATTTTACTTCCTTCCTTTTCACATAGTTGTTCCTCTGTCTACATGCACCTTTGGTGTCTTGCTTTGCTTCCTAACTGCCTTTTCTTTTTCTTCCTTTTTTAAATTTTTTTTTCATTTTTGTTAGACCTTTATTTATTTATACATGGTGCTGAAAATCGAACCCAGTGCCTCACACCAGGCAAGTGCGTAGCTACCTCTGAGCCACAGTCCCAGCCCAAAACTAACTGCCACAATGAATTTATGTATGGTTCACTCTTACAGCCTCATTTTTGCATAAGTAACTCTTTAAAGGACATATCTCCAAATACAGTCGCATTCTGAGGTGGTTAGAACTTCCAACACATAAATTTTGGGAGAATGCATTTTAACCCATTTCAACACCTGTATTGTTCACTGAGCTTGTGATTTAAGGATAACACAGTTTGCTGAAAGCATACTCACTACTACTACACACACACACACGAGGAACTACAGGCCACATGGTGTTGATGCCATTCTTTTAAAGATTATTTCTTTTTAATTAATTTTTAATTATTTCTATATGACAGTGGAATATATTTTAATTCTTATTACACAATTAGAGCACAACTTTTCATATCTCTGGTTTTCTGCAAAGTATATTCACACCAATTCGTGTTTTCATGCATGTACTTTGGATAGTAATGTCCATCACATTCCACCATCATTTCTAACCCCATGCCCCCTCTTTTCCCCTCCCACCCCTCTTTCCTATCTAGAGTTCATCTATTCCTCCCATGCTCCCCCTCCTTACCCCACTATTTACCTGCAAATGCCATGGTTTTATTCTCTTTCATTGCTGAGTAATATTCCATTGTGTATATATGCCACATTTTTTTATCCATACCAAAAGCACTATAACGATTTAATGCCATTCCATTTAAAATCCCAATGGCATTCCTCATAGAAATAGAAAAAGTAATCATGAAATTCATCTGGAAAAATAAGAGACCCAAAACAGCTAAAACAATCCTTAGATGGAAGAGTAAAGCAGGTGGCATCACTGTACCAGACCTTAAACTATACTACAGAGCAATAGTAACAAAAACAGCATGCTATTGGAACCAAAACAGACTGGTAGACCAATGGTACAGAATAGAGGACACAGAGACTAACACAAAAAATTATAATTGTCTTATATTAGACAAAGGTGACAAAAACATGCATTGGAGAAAAGATAGCATCTTCAACAAATGATGCTAGGAAAACTGGAAATCCATATGCAACAAAATGAAATTGAACCCCAGTCTCTCACCATTCACAAAACTCAACTCAAAATGGATCAAGGACCTACGACTAAAACTAGAGAGCCTGGGTCTAATAGAAGAAAAAGTAGGCCCTAATCTCCATCATATGGGATTAGGCCCCAGCTTCCTTAATAAAACTCCTTTGGCGCAAGAATTAAAATCAAGAATCAATAAATGAGATGGATTCAAACTAAAAAGTTTCTTCTCAGCAAAGGAAACAATCTGTGAGGTGAATATAGAGCCTACATCTTGGGAGCAAATCTTTAGTCCTCACATATCAGATAGAGCACTAATCTCTAGGGTATATAAAGAACTCAAAAAGCTAAGCACCAAAAAAAATCAAATAACTCAATCAATAGATGGGCCAAGGAACTGAACCAGACACTTCTCAGAAGATGATATACAACCAATCAACATATACATGGAAAAAAATGTTCATCATTGCTAGCAATTAGAGAAATGCAAATCAAAACTACTCTAAGATTTCATCTCACTCCAGTCAGAATGGCAACTATTATACACACAAACAACAATAAGTGTTGGCAAAGATGTGGGAGAAAAGGCACACTCATACATTGCTGGTGGGACTGCAAATTGGTGCAGCCAATATGGAAAGCAGTATGGAGATTTCTTGGAAAACTGAGAATGGAACCACCAGCTATCCTTCTCCTTGGTCTATACCCAAAGGACTTAAAAACAACATACTATAGGGACACAACCACATCAGTGTTTATAGCAGCACAGTTCACAGTAGCTAAACTGTGGAACCAACCTAGATGCCTTTCAATAGATTAATGGATAAAGATTATTTCTGATGAAATGATCTTCTTAGATTCCCATAACTTTATAACATACATTACAGTACTCAAATTATCATGAAAAGCACAAAATAAATTTAACTCTATAAAAATCTTATTATGTTATTCTCATTTTGTCATTTTGTTCTAGACCAGTGAGAATTTTTTTCCTAGGTGCTCTGTTCATAGGAAAACCACTAACTTATAATATCTATCTATTTATTTATCTATCTATCTATCTATCTATCTATCTATCTATCTATCTATCTATCCATCCATCCATGTATCCATGTGATTTTATTTGTTCATATCTTCCAGAATCTTCTGGCATCTTTGTGCTAGTACCTGCTTCTGAAGTCCATAATCAATAACATACCTTTATAGCTCAAACCAAGTTCAGGTTACTTGTTCAGAGTCTCCTTTTCTGATGTTTTCACCATCTATCTGGAGGGTTTTCAATACCCTTCATTCACAACTTTAGTAGCTGAAAGGCAAACCTGGATGCCTAGTTTTGAACTCTTCCCATCTCTGTTCTCCCTTTTCTTTATTCAGTTTTTCTCTAAGGCTCAATCTGATTCTTCCCAGCAGGTGTTTTTCCCATTCATGGGATAAATATGGTGTCTGAACA